TGATCTTTTGCACAATTTATGATAAAGATTATAAATAATTTTTTGTACATTTTTTTATTTATATTAAAACATTGAACTTTCTGTTAACAAACAATTATGAAAATAATCTTGTAAGCATTCCATAGTAAAACTCCGATTAAATAAAACGATTATAAACCAAATTAAAGATTAGAGACAAATTAGTTAAAGGCGTAATAATTTTCTTTTTGTTTATTTAAAATAAATAATATAACTTCATCATTTTGAATTAAAATATTATTTAGTTTTCAACGTAATCAATAATTTAAGCAGATTGATAAGGAACCTCGTATAAACTTTCTTTCGAACTTAACGTGCGTTAATTATTTTTATTAATTATTTAAAGTCATGAAAAAATACAATAGCCACAAGAAAATTAAGCCGTTGCATATTAATAAATTTAAATAAAATGTAAGAAAAAAATTTTCAGAAATTTTATAAAAGAAAATCAAGCGTCTTAGTCCTCTTCATAAGAGGACTAAGACGCCTGAAATATAATTCCGTAAATTGAGTTTTTTTCATATTAGGAAGATGTTAGACATTTCAAAATGTTGTACAGGTGGAAGGATAGCCTGCTATGTGACCTTCAGTTGAGATTATGCTGCTGGTGCCATGTCATCCTATACCGCAAGGCACGGGTTACTGAAAGAATTTGGAGCAGGTATACGAAAGGGTTAAAGACCCGTTGAAATCCCACAATGACCTGTCAAGCAATAATCTATTTCTTTATATACGGTTAAGAGTTATAATAATAACCCTAACAAGATGCCTATTGTGAGATTTTGTGTTAATAGAAATAAATAGTTAAAAGTGTGTTGAAATCTGTTCATGAAAAGTGAATTGTTTCGTGAAAAGTGAGTTATTTCGCAAGTTAGAAAATCGAGAGCATCAAAATCAATAATATGTATAAAATAACTTATAATTTAAAATTTTTTTTGTTTGATAAAAAGCGCACAATACAAAAAATTTTTTAAATACTGTTCTTTATTAAACATTTCTTTTTTTTTTGTAAAAATTAGTATCGATATTTAAAAAATTTGTGTCTAACTTAAAAAATATATAAAATATTATTTTATACATTAATTTAATACTGTTAAATATTTTTTAATATTAATTAGCATTGCTACAATACATAAAATATATATTGTACATTTTTATAAAGAAATATAAATATATATAATATATAAAATAATATTTTATATTATCAAAAAAACAATGTCACTATAAAATGGAAAAAGTAAATGAAAAATATAATCTATTGATCTTACTTCATAAAATTTCGATAATCTAGGTCGATATGCTACAATGTTTGAACAAATAGATAATATAAAAATTCAATACATTCCTAAATTTTGAGGAATTCCTGATAATGAATACTTTAATATGATAAACTGAGAATAAATTGAGCAATGAGATAATTCTTCTTTTTATTCATTTCGAAATCCTCGCGAATTATACAGAGCTCAGTTGTTTGCCAGGGTAGTTTTTCATAATATTTTGTCAGGTTTGTATGCGGAAATACTTTCGTGTTGTGGTACTCACTTCGGGCGTTCCGCCCCTTCGCCACCCCTCGTCGGAAAAAATCCCAAAACCTATGACATTCATCGAACAAAAAGAAATCTCCTGTTAGTCACTCGATTGATTGTTCCCTCGACACGATCCAAAAATCGGGAGTACGTTTGCATTATATACATATAGCGCAGTTCTATATCGATTTTAAAATAGTTAAAACTGTCTTCAAACTGTCGTAGTTGATAAAAAACATACTCGAGCGATGATAATCCATCGAGTCGTTGTAAAAACGTTATTCGGTAAAATTCAATTAAATTCGATCTGCGCCTATTCCGATCCAACGCATCTGCAAACGCAGATAAACGCGTATAAGATCAAAAGAAAAAGATGAAAAAAAGCAGAGATATTTTTGGTAACACGGAAAGGAGCCTCTTGTGGATCGGCCGACTCACTAATTCGACAATCGCCCCAGATCCCGCACCCCTGTGCATTCGGTTCTTTTTTTTTTTATCATCTGTTTCTCTCTCCCGTTCGACGTCGCCATTCTCTCATCCTTCCCGATTTCTCTCGCTCTCTCGCTCTCTCGCTCGTTCGAATCTCCGTCCTTGTCTCCACGGCGACGACAGGCGGCTGACAGGGTGGAGTGCTCGCACCGCTCGCACCATCCTTGTATCCACGTGTACGTATCCGTATCACGCATGTATGTGTGTGTGTGCGTGTCAGTGTGACGCCAATACGGTACGACATGTGGCCGTATGCGTGTGCCACGAAGGCTCGTTCGCGCGTGCATGCGTGACACCCAGTATACGCACCGGGATCCGACAGGCATTCTTCTACTTTTTTATCGCCGCCACACCGAATGTGCGTGTACACGGCGACTGTCGTGAGTTCTCGGCTACAGGCACGCGCTACGACGATTGCACGCGCGCACTCTCCTATCCTTCCTCTTCCCTCTCTACGAAACGACCCCCGCGGGGGTTATCGTAGCCGATTCCGGTTTTGTCGAAGAAACAGTGGGAAAGTGGGAGCTGGTGTGGCCCCCGAGCGTACCGTTATCACAGCACGAGTCAGTTTTCTTTGTCTATTGAACTCTATTGCATTATTTGCCTTTGATACGATAATCACGTTTGCTTCCAACTTATCTTGACAATGCATTGTGTAAGATGCACTAGATAAAAAGGACAGCAGCAGTCGATTGCGAGACATATCGTAAATACACACACACGTACAATAGAATCTGAGAAAAAAATGCGAGCATTTATTGATGAATGTAAGATATGAATATGAGCTTTAGATTTTTTTTAATTGGATGCGCATTGATAGAGGAAAATAAAACGAAATGATATTCTGTAATCTTTTCCGTTCTTCCGTTACGATGAAAAGAGATTGCGTTTTTCTTCAAACTTATGTACTTTTTTTTTCGTAAAAGCATATTACTTAAATATGTACAATTGAACTAATTTTTATAATAAATCAATCTACATCACATAAATAAATCAAATGAGTAAGGAAAGAGTCAATATAGTTGAGGTTAAATATTAATGCTTAATAATATTTTTATATGTAAATTTTAAATATATCTTTTTAGTTATATAAACTGCACCTCATTTACTGTTGGATTTGAAATGCAATCATAAATTGAAGCTAATTATCAAGGTTTCAAATAAATGTAGATACAATTAAATTGATCGTTGCTTTGGTAATAATGCTATTAACATCTTAAAATATCATAAATAATTTATTATAAAAAATATTAATCATATCATCTATTATTCATATTTATCTTTTTTCATTTATTTTTAAAATTATTTTTGTTTGTGTAGATATGGCGCGTAGATATGGCATGTAGATATGGCGTCACAACCAGCAGACCTGATGATTATGTACCTGAAGATAAAATTACATCTTAAGATAAATTACCTTAAGATAAAAAGTAGGACTGACGTTTTTAGTTTTATTTAAGTATCTATCAAACATTGATAATCTTGAATAAGGGATATTTATATATAACTATTATAATAAAAACTACGAGATAATAATCTACGAGATATTAATCTACATAATTTATTCTCTCAAAAATTCTACAATTTTATCTTCGTAAACAAAAAAAAACTATTCATTCGTTTGAAAAAAAAATTTCACTTTCAGAGACTGTACAATAGAATTGTTTTTGAAACTGTTTGAAATTTTCGAAATCTAGATCTTGACAATTAGAGAAAATAACAAAAGAAGCGAAAGTTACCATGGTTGTTTAAAAAGAAAAAAATGTAGTCTACACATAAATTGCATGAATTAACGACATAAAGAAAATTTTACGTGCAAAAAAATAGCAATCTGAAGAGAGTATTCAAAGTAACAAAAAGGTTTTTATCTTTTATTTAAATTGAATTATTACTAAATTCTAGAACATGAACTTTTTTTATTTTAACCAATATTCCTGAAAACTTAAGAAATTGCAACGAATTTTCTTAATAAATAAAAATGGATTACAAAATTTACAAGAGAAAGGAAGCACTTGATTGATTTCTTAGGATGTTCTCGATAAAATCGGTTAATTGATTAAATGTTTATTAGAGGCAGCATTCACCATTGATTTTACCTGAGATTTTCGATTCTTTTTTTTGCACCCATGTACTTGTGTACCATTTACGCGACGTTATATTACTCTTTCGCGCAACCTCGAAGACTTTCTGAACGCGACGAATCGTCGCGCAATTTATATCGATCGCTTTTGAAATATTGACAACCGCGGTGAACTTTTGCAAAAAGCTCGCCAGTATGCATACGAGGAACTGTCAATATCGCCAAAGCAAGAGGTATATTCAGCAGGCATTAAATAACAAATGTATACGCGTGCATTGCGGAATGAAAAGTAGTCCTCTCGAAGACGCAATCGAAGTGAACAACGCTAATTGTGGAGAGATCATAGAGTACAAAACATTTTCTCCGAATTCCATAATTTCCTTTCTCGACCTTACTGCGCAATTTCGCGATTTTAAGAAGAAGCCGCGATCGACCCTTTGTCCAACTTTCGAATCATACGAAACACACCGCACAATCTCTCCCATTTATTCCCCTTTCACCCTCCTTCTCCCTGAGACTGGGTGATCTCCCACCTTCTCCTTCACCTCCTTAGGGAAAAAACGCACTCTCCACACGCGCCAACCCCTACTCTTAAAGATCACGGTCGCAGGTTCACCCTGTCTCTCCCTACCCCCTGTCCTTCCTCTCGCGTTTGCTCTTTCTACGCAATAACATCTCTTTCACCCTCTGGTCTTCTCTTTCCAACTATCTTCTCGTGCGATCATCCCCTCGCACTGTCATCCCGCTCTGTCTTTCTCTTCTATTCTCATTTTATCTCTTTCTCTCTCTCTCTCTCTCTCTCTTTCTCTCTCTCCCCCTTGAATATCTATTTCTTGCCTTTTCTCTCCCTCCTCGTACTCCATCTTCCGCGCACAGACTAACCCGCACCACGTCCCAGCAACTCGCGCATCCGGGGTTGCGATTCGAGAGGCCGAGAGGGTAGCGCACCGTTGACGCCTGGTGGGGAACATGAGCGGCTCGAGTGGGGCGGCAGCAGGGGTGGGGGATGTTTGACTACCAGCGAGCGACTCGGTTGTCACTTAGTATTGGGTTAGGTCAGCCCGAGGTTTACATCGTTCGTTAATAGTTATCGGTCGTCCGTATGATCGTAGCACGATTTTTGCTCGTTCGTCCAGTTATATTTTAGAGTAGTAATCAACTGAGAACGCGATATCCTCGTGATATACTTGAACAGTACGTCGGATACCTCACTCGTGATCGACGTACCGGGGTACGTCGGATGTTCACTTGTGCTGATTTTTATCAAATTTCTCTCGGGTGCATCCTACCACGGGGAAACAAACGAGAACGACTGACGGTGACGTTCGTTTTTTAATCACGCAGCCATTGGTGCAGTTTCGCGTCGCGGCAGCGCGCCTCCGTTTCTGCATCTCGCCGCGAGTGATGATCACGTTGTGCTCCAGAAGAGGACCGGGCGAAATGTCAAAGTGAGAAACAACTGGAAACAACCGTATGGACTACCGTAGCATGGCACTGTCTTGTATGCGCGAAGTGCAGATTTACAAAGGTATCCTTTCTTTTTCTTTGTCAGCATAGAATTGCATAAATAGAATACTCAGTTTTGGGTAAACCATGAAAATTGCATGTATCCCTTTAGTCTCAGAAAAGAAACCTAAAATGTACCCTTCCGTTGAGAAATTGCAATAAATTTGCTATTTTTGGCATTTAGAAATTTGCTGCTTTTGGCATTTAGAAATTTTACTCTTTTCTATTTCCAACAATACGTTATTTAATGTTATTTGATTTCTCTTCTTTTACCAAGAAGAATTATTGTTCATCATTATTACTTTTACGGACTTCGTTTTTGACTTTTAATATTGTCTATTTCTTTGCACAAACCAAAAATATACCCTTCTGTTGGAAAATTGCAATAAATTTATCGTTATTTGCTTGCCATTTAGAAATTTTATCCTTCTCTGTTTTTAACGGAACGTTAGTTTCTCTTCTTTTAAAAAGATATATTACTCTTACTCCGTTTTTGGCTTTTAATATTGCCTATTTCTTTGCACAAACGGGTTTTTAAATGACTTCCAGCGAAAACTCTTTCTGGCGAAATTTGACAATAAAAATGTTGTAACATAGAGTTAAAATGCTGTTACATCGATCACGCATTGTTTGCTATTTTTCTTTTTTTATTCGCATTCAACAATCTGCCGGATGTTGGCCTCGAATGAAAGTGAAAATGTAGGTGGTGCGTCGGCGCTTTAATATATATAGAAACAAACAGATAGAGAGAGAAAGAGAGAGAGAAAGAGAGAAGGGGGAGGAATAGAAAACGAGAAGAGAGAGAACAATTTTGTAGTTTCTTAAGAGTCGTGCGACTTCTTGGCATACCGCCAGAATCTAAAAGCATCTACGACGATACGACGCACGTACGTTGTGACACATCGTAAACATCGATATGCCCCGGAGAAACTAAGCTAAATCGTCCGACGCGAAAGGAGAGGTAAAGAGATTGTTGGAAAAATGAAATCCGTATCGCTAATGACTTGCGAAGCGGCGCGACGCAACGCGTCGCGACGCGACGCGACGCGCGGCGTCTAAAAATAATCACTGCTATTGCTTCGGAATGCCCGGCACGCTTCTCCTTTTCTCGTAACGACCCCTTGTGTCTCCATAATCGCGCTCTTCTTAAACTGGTGAGGTTCGACCTTCCTGGTTAGGTATTTAAATCGTCAGATCTTACGGTGGTATTCGAATTCTGATAATTATACTTGAGATCTATTTTTTTTTTATAGCTAATGCACGCACGTTTTGTATACACACAGAAAAATATTATTTTCGAAATAATTAGAAATTGCTAAGAAAATTATTATTTTCGAAATATTAGAAATTATTATAATTTAAAAAAGAATTATGTACCCAACATTATTATATACTCAAAACAAGAATCTTTTTTTTGAAAATTATAAAATTAATCAAAGAAACGATATAATAAACAAGTCGAATTTCTTGTAATTTAATGATTTTCATTGAAGTGCTAAACTAACTAGGATTCAGAATATATTTTGAATAAATTTGATGTTCGTGACGAACTTATGATAAAGTTGTAGATAATCATTTAAAATATCTAAAACGAATCATTATTTGCGTACAGTATTTTTCTGTGTGTACTTGAAAAGAACAATTTTGCTGAAATATTAAAAATTTAGCTAGATTGAAAATAATTTTCTTGGATTATGAAAATATTATTAATAATTCTCAATTATACATTATGTAGGATTCTCAATTATGTAATAATGAGCATTATAGTCATAAAAAGTTTTGACATTATAGCAATCAGCTCAGAGAGTTCTAATTATTTTACTAATTATTTAACAAAATTATTGTCACGCAGATACGTATCTAGCTAAATTTTTAGACTTTAGCAAAATCATTCTTTCCGTGTAAGTGATGAAGTAGGCATATATTTGGTAAAAGTAGAAGGAAAATTCTGGTGTAGAAAAGAAACTTATTGTAGGATTAAAAATCGTTAGTCACCCAAAACAATACATTATATTTTTAGACATATGAAGATTAGAAATATGTATAAGCATCGAAAAAAACCTTTATGATTATTACGTTTCATGATTTAAGCCGAGAAATTTTTACGATTTTTACCGCATCTGAAAACAATATTGCTCAGAAAAAGATACGTTAACTTAGAAAACTGTAATATATAACATGCATCGGCATACAGGAACACAAATTTCCAAATTTTTAACTAGTCAAGGCTGTGCGAAAAAGATCAACCATAAAGCTATGACAAAATAGACAATAGAAAATTCTATAAAAAGATTGCAAGGCCGATAATAAGAAAAAAAACAGCTAATATAAATTTTGTCGATACATTGTAATTTTTGTATTTGAAAAATCGACAACTTGGCATATTTTACTTTTCATCACTTTTACGAGTAGCAAATATTTCGCTTAGATATTTCGTGGAATTTTGTTAGTCGCGAAAATTGCTTGTATTTCATCTCTCCAGTCGAATAAATATATATAATATAAAAATATACAGATTCCAAAGAAATAAATCTAAATCAAATGATTAAAGTCAATACGAATCGATCTCAGGTGACCATGTATAAAAAATTGTTATATTAATAATTCTATCAAATGTTTCGACCCCACTTTGTGAATCTCACAGAATGTATCACTGACAATTCACAAATTAATCATATCGCAATACAATAAATCAATAAATTGTTGAACTTCATACTTAGTAAATGTTTATATCGCGAAAAAATAATCAAAGATAATAATAGAAAAAAGTCCAAGTGATAATTAAACAAACGTCTCAGTATTTGGTAGAATACCTAAACTGTTAGTGCCAAAGTTAAAATTCCAATTGTTATATACTGTTGAAAGATTTGTCAAATATAACACATTTTACATGTTCCAAACGATTCCATTAAAATTTTTGTGTTTAACATAAGATGTTGGAAAACAACATAGATATTAAGTAAAAAAATAATCACAAAAAAGATAATGCTAGCATAGTTTGTAAACAAACTCTGAAAGTATATTTTTTTTTAAATAAAATAAACGTTTATATATTAAATTAGCATGTATTTTATTTATTTATCGTAGAATTTATGTTTTTAACATATTATTTTTATGTCACTTGTTCACTTATTGATAGATTATGTATCATTTTGAAACAAACATAGAAACGTTAAACATAAAATGTTTAAATAATGTATTATTATATATAAATATAATAATGCAAGTCAACCAACGTCAAATGCAACGTTTTCTTAGTGACAAAATGGCACAATTTATGAGTAAGTGAATAAATAACATAAAAATAACGTGTTTAACGTAAATGTTATAATTTTATTAAACAAAATAACATGCTTCCACGGTTTGTTTACAAAGTATGTCAATATTATTTTTTTGTATTTATTCTTTTAGTAATATTAATAATACTTATGTAACTTTCTGACTTATTCATCTTGTATTAAATTAATCTAAAATTTATCAGTAATACACTGAAGAAGATCCAAAGCGAGGATCGAAACGAATAAATACAGACATAGAACTTAATTTAAGATTTAGCCTGTATTAGTATCTCCAAGAGAAAGTATTCGCGATAAAACTACAAGGGTTGCGACCAATTAGGGAGTAGACGTAAGCGGGGGTGGTACTCCTGACGTCGCGTTGCCAAGGAACGGCGATTGTAGGCTGTAAGGATCCCGGTCGCCGTTAAGAGAATTTTAGGGTAGTGGGAAGAAAGAAGAGGGGAATAAGAGACTGAATTCTTATTGATTCAACGACGCTACTTTCTATAAATAATCTATAATTAATTAGCCTGTAATAATTGAACGTGGATCATCATTAATTATTGTTTCCTTATGCGATTCTGTCTCGTTAAAAAAGCGCAAAAAACATTCTTTGGAAACATTCTTTTTTGCCAATTGCCTGAATGCTCGTCGAAGTGTCCTTTGAATTCGCATCTGTTAAATACCCCTTTGGATTGTATAAGAGAAACCTCTAAATATAATGTATGACGTCGATTCATACAGAATTCCTATAGAAGCAGCAACCTTTTAGGTTCCGATTTTCAAAAAAGGATTTGCAACAACCAATGTGCCAGTATTCGCTCGATTGTGAACTAATCGCACATTTATCAAAGAACAAAAGACATCCGAGGTTGCTATTCTAGAGATATAAATTTACGTCCCTTATATCCCTTATATTATTATATACATATTATTTCAAAGAATATAGTCTCATTATATAGTTTTTTTGTTAGTAAATTATCATAATATTTAAATAAATAATTCAATTTTTTTATTTAAGACTCTTGTTCATCATCATCTCAGATTATGCATCAAAAGCGAGAAAATGCAAAATAAAAATTTTTGCAAAATATATTTTTAAGAAAATATATTTCAACAAAACAATACTTACAATCGATAAAGCCGCGAATTGTAAAAAACATATCCAAAATCTCATTTTGATTTGTTAATTAATAAATAATCATTTATCTAGAGAGAAATTAATTATGCATAACAAATTGCGATATTTTTTTCTTTCAACTGCATGCAAAGTTTTGCATATGTCCATTAAAAAAAACTACTAACGTCGAATAAATTACAGTTAAGCTGCCGTAATCAACGTTATACATAATAAAGATACGTAAATCTAATGTGACCTATAGTTTGTATTTTCATTTTTGCTATTTATTTATAAATACTTTCCGTCCTAGTTCAGGAAAGATGGCTCACAATCAAGTAACATATACACACTGTATCTTTAAAAAATTATAGAAATTTGTTTGGTTTCTTTAATTTAAAAAATTATAATTTTTATGTTACTATGCAACATCATTATACAGGGTGGAACAGTAACTTTATTCATCTAGAATGTCTTCGCTATTTTTAGAGATATGAAATAATTTATATACTGAAGTTGCATAGCATCAAGAGGAGTACAATATGCTACTAATAGTTTTTCTATGATCTCTATTTTTTAAATGGAATTATATGATTTTTTTACGTAGTATGATTCTTCTAATTATTCTCCATGTAAAAGTATAAAAAAACCAATACTGTTTACAAGATGTTTTATACTTTATTGTGGTACATTTTAACATAAAATGTTAAATATCTCGTACATTACTATTAATAATTTTTTAATTTCTATCTACCTTTTTTATATAGAGGAATTACATAAAAATATTACATAAAAAAATTATAATTTCATTTTAAAAATGGTGAAATCTTCGAAACGCCTCCACTTATAGAAAAATCATTAGTAGCGTATTATATTCCTCTTAATGTTAACTTCAGTAAATAAATTATTTTATATCTTTAAAAATAGCGGAAATATTCTAAGTAGACAAAGTTACTGTTCCATCCTATATATTTATAATTCAAAACTAATGGATCAATTCTAAGCAGAATCGTAAGACTCGTATTAATCGTAAAACTTGTAAGAACTTATTATTACTATTCTAATTTTCTAATTTTATGTATCATAAGACATACAATTATTTATAAATATCTATGATTTCTTGTAAATTTTATAGTTAGTAAGAAGCTGTCTGTAAAAATATCATATAACGATATAAGCACTTCAAAATTTTTACAAATCTTACAGGAATGTGTTACGAGTTTTAGATTCTGTTTACAATTTAGGCATAAATTACGTTGGCATTAGCCAATGAATCATGACACAATAACCCGCAAATCCTTATTATTTTATAAAATGTTACATACATCTTTAACATAAAACATACATAGCTAATGTTCCGTAATACCATGACCATCTTTTGCCTAAAAATCAGATAAGATGGCCAATGCATATATTTTAAATGCAATAATATTTTGATAATATTAAATTTTTGAAGTTTTCTTTCTAATTTCGATAATATTACTTTGGTATATCATTTTCAATGAAGTGATATACCAAACGCGCTATTAAAAAATAATTTTAAAAAAGTATGTTTTTTACATTTGAAACAACTATGGCGATTTTTTACCAGAGTTTACCCTACATTTTTTATAATTGTCCTGCATTCTTATTCCATATCCTCCTCTTCTCCTTCCTTAGCTGCATCTTTTCACAATTTTCTTAAGATATTACTTTTCACAAGATCTAAATCTTTATTTCATAACTTAGTCCGTATTATTCCTATGCATACATATCTAAATATAATTTGCAAGAATTTTTATTGTGTGCTTTCTCGCTTCTGATGTCACAATCTGAGATAATAGGGCAGGTGAGTGAAAAGAAGCCTCAATTATCTAAATTTGACTATTGGAAATTGTGATCATGCAAACTCATAGCTTTATTGACGGATATCCCTTTCGATTTCGCCATTCTGATAAGCGTGTATTTGCATACCGATAAAGTCGTTGGCCCCGGAATCGAAGAGGCGGTACGTCGTAGACGCGTAGGTGGATAGCCGGAGCTTTATGAATGAACTCTCGCGTAGTCAGGAGTGCGAGTGAATGGAGGAGGATCCAGTAACCTCACCTCACGTGCGAGCGACATATGTGGGAGGGCAAGTTGAGAGTGGTAGGGAAGAGAGAGGAACAGGAAGAAAGAGAAGAAAGAGCGTGGGAAACATCTGAGAGAGAGAAAGAGAGAAAAAGTGAGAAAGTGGGGGAGGGAACGTGAGGAGAAGTCTTTGGATTCACAGATCACATACGTGCACATACGTGCAATCATGCGATTTATTTATTCTCTCGTTTATGCTAATCTCACTGAATTATTTCGACAATATTACGAGCTGCCGACGGATATTTTTGATATTTATAATACATTTACATTTTACTCCATACTTAAGATGCGAATAACAAAATATGTTTTAGTACACGAAAAGGATGATTTTGCTGAAGTGATTTAAAAATTTAGATAGATATAGAAAATAATTTTGTTGGATCATCAAAGTAATTATACAGAATGCTCAAAAGTTGGTTGTAGAAACTTTGTCGTTCAAAACTTTTTGCAACATTACTCGTCATGCTTGCAACGTTAAGTAACATTACTCATCATAATTCCTACGTGATTATTTTGATGGTTCAACAAAATTATTCTTAGATCGGTATCTAACCAAATTTTTAGATACTTTAGAAAAATAATCTTTATCGTATAAAAATTTTTTTTCGTATAATCATTTTACGTATTAAGCATTAAAATGTTATGTGTAATTGTATTTTCATAAATTAACGTATGTTTCGCCACAAACGTATATACCTATATATGCATGTATATGTCTCTCCATTAAGTCCAGGATTCCTGATCAGTCGGTACCTGGGCATGATGCAAGATCCTGAGAAGAGCACTCAACTTGACAGCGCGTCGCAGAGGATGTTTTCTATGTTCGACCCGACAGCAACATTACCACTGACCCAGGAGCAGCTGTTCGTTGCTAATCAAAGGATGAGCATGGCTCTGCTAACAGCCACGAGATTTCCTGTATTAAACGCGAGCATTGCCGCTCCGTCGCTCTATGCGTCTCCGCAGGATCTCTTCGGGAGTTGGATACCACGAATCGCATCCTCGCCGCCTTCCTCTCTTCGCCCACCGTCAGAAGTATCGCCGGCCCCCAATATGAAGACCTCGTCTCGACGCAATAACAATAACAATAACAACAACAATAATAACAATAATGATAACAGTGACAACAACAATATGAACGATGACGATAGAATCGTCAGGAGGGGTCGCGCCGCGAAAAGGAAACCCACTAAATTGAAAGTGGAGGCTGCGGCAGAAGGTGCGGATCCGGTCAGTCCTTCCGTCAGTCCTGAGACGACGAAGGATGGCAAAGATAAAGTCTTCACTTGTGGAGTATGCCAGAGATCTTTCGGGTACAAGCATGTGCTCCAGAATCACGAACGCACGCATACGGGCGAAAAACCTTTCCAATGCCAGGAATGTCAGAAAAGGTGAGTCTCCGCTATCGATCGCACGATGTCTTTTCTCATGATTTCTCCAAGTCACGACAGACAAAATCTTCGCGAAAATCATTATCACGTAACATCGATTTAAACAAACGATGTTTTATGTAAAAGAAAGATGTTAAAAGAAAAGTGATTGATATTTCTAACTGCAATAAAATAATTATGATTAAGTTAGGAGTTACATTTTTATAATTATTACTATATCTAATGCTAGTAATATTCGTATTGCATACAAAATTGTGTAGCTACTATTGTGCCAAAGAATCAAAGATTAAAATTAATTTAATTAGGAGGCCATTAATATAAACTTCATTAACGAATCCTATAACGAAGTATTTTACATAATTGAGGGTTAAAAAGATTGGAGAACCTCTCAGTAATTTTTATACTTAATTTGAATCGCATATAATAATATAATTTTGAAACTCATTATCATTAGGTAGATAAATTTACCGCATATTCGTAAATCGAATAATGGCTAATTTACTCGTCCCTAGTTTGGTATGTATGGAACTATAAATATATAATTATTGTTAATATATAACATTATAGATTAATAACTAGAGCTCCTAATTATAATTATTTTACTATGCAATTATAGTCACAAATACCAAACACTTTTCTCTCAGTGCACGATTCTGGCATCTTTCAGTTCGTTCATTAAAGTCGCGAGTTCAGCCAATAATCCTTGATCTTTGACTTTGCAGATTTACCCGGGACCATCACCTGAAGACGCACATGCGGCTTCATACGGGCGAAAAACCTTATAAATGCAAATTTTGCGAACGAAAGTTCGTCCAGGTAGCGAATCTCCGCCGTCACCTACGTGTACACACGGGCGAGCGTCCGTACGCTTGCGACATGTGCACGTCCAGGTTCAGCGACTCGAATCAGCTGAAGGCGCATATGCTGATACACAACAACGAGAAGCCGTTCGAGTGCGAGATATGTCAAATGCGTTTCAGAAGGCGGCACCATTTGCAGCAGCACAGGTGCAGTAATGGCGCGGTGCAAGAGTCGCCACCGGAGGCCGAGTCACCCCCGTCATTAAACAGTGACGAGCTCGACTCGGAGGAATACGTCGATGTTGACGCTGATGTTGACATTGTCGCAGAGCAGGCGCCGGAAGAAGAACCGCTCAACAGATACATCACACCGATCAACAGATTATCTCGCCATCTTCGAATTAACCCCGAGCGAAACGGCCCTGTATACCCGGCCTCGATGGCGCTGAATCCTCCCCCAGGTGTTTTGCCAATGCAAACGGAACCTGAGGACTTATCGATGAACAAGTCATCCTCGCGGGGATCGCACTCTGGGGGCAGCGATAATTCGTCGCTGAACGCCGACGTCAGCGAGACTAATCCGGAAGAGGATGACAGCTCCTAGTAAAGTCTCGCCGGTACGTAAAGAAAACTGCGTGAACAATGCTCTTACTGTGCCATCCTTGACATCATCGGGCAATATAATAAGAGTTATTTACGCGGTATTCTCTTGTATAAGGCTTCATTGTCTCGCGTAATAGATCTTGATTATGGGTTACGGAAGGGACGATCACGCTCGAAGCGCTCGCGAAGAAGCGCGTTCCGCGAAGTCTTTGTCGTGTACATAGTTTCGGAAGAAGGGCATGTGTGTCCTCGTGAGTGGTACGCGCCGTTGCGTTAACGAGAGGAGAGAATATAGCTGTTCGGATTGGATATACTGGTATACAAGTTCCTCTGACAGTAAAAAATAGCGGGGGAAGAGTGACGACAGTCCATCAGTACACTGTCGCCGTCGTGAGTTTCACGGTATCTATGGTTTATACTACATCACTCGTTGTTACATTTTTTTCCTCGCCCTTCGTGATTATCCGGAGATTATTGGCCTTTGCTATCTCGATCGAACGCGGTTGGATCTTTCAATTAGTCGAAACGATTTGACATTCGCGTGTCCGAGACGTTCCATGTATTTGCGAGAAACGATTTTAAAGTGCGTGACATCCTTTATTTTTACGTTGACAGGCGATTGTTTGAATCGTCAAAATCAAACGACGTTCATTGACTGCATTTAGCATAAAAAGCTACTTTACAATTGTTGTAAAATAAATACAATTGGTTTATACAATATACATTTAGATTTAGTGAGAAACATTTAAATCTAAGAGCAAGAACCAATTGTACTAAAGAATCTTTCAACAGTTAGAAAACTACTTTTTCTGCTAAACGCAGTCAATGCTCTCGAATTAATAATCAGCAAATACGATCATTGTTTTATAAAAAACTGGAAAATCGTAATCGTCAAGCGGCTTGATTTAAAATTCAAACCGATCTCCATTTCCATTACCTCTTCTAGTTTCGCCTTGATCGCAGAGAATGATGTACGCATAATCGAGATCTCTGCTTCTCCGATTTCCGCCTTCAGATCCTTCGGACACGCGCACCCGGTCTCGTAATAAATCCTTTCAAAGAGATCTAAGCATTTTTTGTAAGCAGAGTTTTTTTTTTTCTTTCAACAGGGCCGCTTGTACGTCGTTCGTACGAACCAGTTTCGCGATGACATTTTTGTCGACGAAAAATTTTTGCAGCCGAACCTTTTCTCATCTCAGGCTTCCTTCCCTCGCACCTCCACTCGATTCTCTGAATACGGATCTGATTTATGTGAGATAATTCTTCATGTAGACCAGTTACAAGGCCACCTAGAGATACATTGTTCATTATGGACCGTATCATATTTTTAAAATTGAAAATGTGTTCCAGTTCCGTTACTTCTCTTCCTACGATGTATATAAACGCTGTATATAACTTTGAGATACAAATCATTCTCCTATATCGCATAGAAAGATAAAAAACAGAAAGGATAGAGAAAGAAAGTATAAGAAAAGAGATAATATATTTTGCACGAATTCGCTCAGAATACTTAGTCGAAATTGCCCTCGTTTATCTTTTGACCGTTTTGTTCGACCATTTTGCGAGAGAAGAAAGACGAACGCAGGTATATCCCGAATTGCATCATTTTGCAGTAATGTTTCTGCTTTAAACATATGTTCTATTTGTGCAATCGCTAAAGGAACCGTTCAAAATCGCAAGTAAAGCAGAGTTTGTTTGAAAAATAATAATAATTAACCACGTGAGTTTGTTTTCATAAAATATCAAGAAGATAATGTTGATATTAGAGATTTTATGCGTAACAGATTAACTTTTTTCTTAATTTTATTTCAAGACATATCGCTGCATTGCTAAAAAAGTGACACATCTCAAAATTAGCTACTTTTCATTAATATTGCATTTTTAAAATTCTGCATTGAAATAATGTTTTGATCAGGATAATGAATATGCAATTTCTATACATTTATCTTCTTTCATGTTATACTTTCAATTCTAATGTATTCTTTAAAACTATGTCATAAGTTTTCAAAATTTGGACATTGTATACCTTAGTATAGTGTAAATTTTATTCCTTATGAGAGTTGTGACACTTCTTCATATAAGCAAATGAGCTATAAAAAATTGTGTCTTTCAACAAATATATAGTAGACTAGACTTTATAAGGATTTCCTTTCATTATCTAATGCTAATTTTTAACTTGTCATCACTTTTCTATCAACGCAGCAATATATTTATCGTAAAAATTATAACTCATTTTCACATTTTTATTCTTTTCGGCTCTTTTTCTTTTATTTCATTCTTCTTATTCTCGTTCTTAACATACATCTTTAACATACAATTCCCTCTAACGAGACTCTTCAACCATTTTATCAGAATTTGACCTAAGTTTTTTTATGGAATACAAAAAAAGAGGATAGGGCACATGGCAATCCTTGTCATTTTTTTGGCATTTCTTCTCAAGCATAAGTTCCTGCTATAGGAGAGATATTAGAAACAGGAATAAATATTAAATACTAGAAATAAAAAAATTAGGTTTTTTGAAGATTTTTTTTACTTCTAATATTTAATATTTTTTTCTGTCCCTAATATATTTCTTTCACTTTGTACAGAGCCTAAAACGTGCAACAAGCATCACGTGGCGATTTTTCTCCTAAATCCCTTGTTACATATCTTTCCTATTTTAAGACAAGCACTAAATCTCTGCTGAAATTTTTGTCTCGTTCGTTCGATTCTTTGCGTTGTTACAGTCTTCTCTTTCTATCCCTTATACGTGTCGCAGAACGTCTCGTGCATGTAATCAGCGAATGTTACAATTTTCCGTTCGATCGAGTTTTCTTTTTCTCGCAAAAATCACGTGTTAATATCGTTTGTTTTATATTATACTTCTCATTTGTAAATAGTTAGTTTTAGAAAGAAATAATGTATTACTTCTCGTCGATTCATTCGCGTACTCAATTTATTGGACGGGAATGACATTTGGCTGGGAAAGACAACAATTCCACGGATCTCTTAAAAAGCAATAACGATTTAAAAATGATTTAAAAATGCAGAACAAACGCGCTTGTTCGAATAACGCATCGTTATCTCGAGTACGTAATTCTGAGATAGAGTTCACGCACACAATTTTGCTTCGTTAAAACTCAGTCGCTGGAGATTCAGCGACAACCGTCAGGCAGTCGAATCTCAATGGCTTACATTCTCCGGATCTCGCGAAATAATATAAACGTCACCTTTGCTGAATGCGTTATTAATTCCGTTACCATTGATATCATCGTGACTTTTTTTCTACCAACGCGTGAGGCACGCAGAAGGCGACAGAGGTCAGCAGGGCTCCGATCTCGTGCCCCGAAAGAAAGGCAAATCTCACCCCGAAAACCCCCAAGTATATTATTGTACATAGAAGGGAACGGCATCCCAACCCCTCGAAGATAAAGGACCGTGCGTGAAGTGAAGTCACAAGTGTAAGCGTCGTCCGACTTGTTCTTTTTTTTCCCCTCCCCTTTTCTTTCTTCCGGAGGTCGGAGTGACAGATGAACGAGCGGTGATGCCATGACAGGACGATCACTTAACGAATTTACTTGTGGTCAGTCCGCAACACAATCGCGAAGACGAGGAACCGGTTTTCGCGCGCCACTCCCGCGACGGGGAGACGACGTATCGAGTTCAGGGTCTGCGACGAGAGAGGCACCGCGATTAATCGAATGGCGCCGAGGAAGAGTCGTCTTGTCAAGAGCGCGCGCGCTCCGAGCAAAAACCTTCCCTCGTCACTCAGTCCAATTACAGGTGACGATTAACTTGGTCACAACGCGAAGGAAACGCCCTCGGAATAGCGTCTTCAGAATAGCGATCGACGTTAAGCGACGTAATTTCGTCGAGTTCAAATACAGGATGTCACGGGAATACGAAAGCGATCTCTATGCTCGTTCACGCCGGCGAAACGGCGATGATCGGCATATCTTATTTTGATTCTCTTCTCCTTTTCGCGATTATCGAAGTATTGAACTCGTCGAAATTGTGCCGTCTTCAGTCAATGCTTAATATTTTAGAATACGCTCCGATTTAGGGCGCATCGATTTGCGTTATTATTCGCTCGGTAAGTCGTTCGTTATTTTCGATTTATCGTTCATGGCAGCACTGCACGTTCTCCAGTTACGTTTGCTGAGTTTGCTTAGACATTTTTAGACAATACTTCACGCGTCCTGGAATTACAATCGGACCATTCAGCGCGACGGTCGATTCCGAATCGGCAATGGTGGTGAATTTGTAATTGTCGATCGGGAACCAATTGAACCGATTGAACCGGATATATCGCGTCCTAGTTTTGTTCCTAATGTTCGACGTTCGATCGCGTCCCGCATTACCAAGATCGAGAGAATCTTCTAACTAATGTAAGTTAGCGACTTCCGGTCGGTGTAACGCAGCACGCTTTACGCGATGTTGAATGCAAGAGTACCTTGAGAGATATCGATTTCTAGTTAATGGTTGTTAGTTCCGAAACGATGTTTGTAAACTTACGTTCCTGCCGGACCTCTGATTGGATACCGGCCCGCTACCTTTTTCGTTTTCTTGTATAAGCAGACCTGAGTCATAGGAAAATCTGAGATATTGACGAGACGAATCACGTTAAGCGTCGTGGTTAATGAATAAGGTTATCGCTTGTCCTACTGTAATCATTATTGTTGTTGTCCTCTTACTCTTAACGTGCAAAAACTATGTATACATATTATATATATATACACACACACATATATATATAAATATATATATATTTGTGTCGAATAATTGTAATGTATTAATTATATGACGTGTACTCGAACTAGGGGTACGTTGTACGGATGGTGATTGAAATGTACGACAAAATATACAAGTAATTGTATGAGGGATAAAGATAGGAAATATCTTACTATCAATAAGATATTACTAGATTTTTATGACAAAGAGTAACAGGAAGACAAAGGCAATCTATCTTAAAGATACGACTGAGCAAGATGGACGATCGGGACATACAAAAACATTTGGATATTTAAACTGTTTAGAAAAAATATTTTTAAAAAGTATAGATATATACATATATATATATATATATAACGGAAAGGGAAAATTATATATATAAAACGGAAAGGATTATCTGTTCTTTATATACGAATTTTAGTCAATATGTTACGATGGAAATGCATCTAATTTGGTGATCCTACAAAATGTCTAGTTATTCTACAGAATCGCCAGTTATTTTGGCGAATAAAAAAAAATTCTCACGCCTCTTGCGTAATTACGTATGATTTTATAAATTGTCCCTCCCTCTCTCCGTCACTAGTGATGTTACAACGGCAGTTGTTTAATTTCATCACTAATGATCGATCGACGATGACAACTATACCTTTATAAAATAATAACCGACAACGATTTTATCTCTACATAAAATCGCTCCAGTGGAATATACGTAATTCAAAATTTTTATTACATGCACCGGCATACCCAGTGATTCTATGGAATCACCAGACGATTTCGTACGAACACCAATTGATCGCTTTTATCGTAACAGGTACAGATTTTTTTCTCTTTTGTACCCGCACGAACGTTACGCTTCAACGAATTAAACTCTGATATTTATTAATCAACTAATATTCGTTGCTTCTTACATCTCGTTCTCGTGCATTTTGCTGCATAATTTAG